TCAGTAATACTAGACCCAGTTTTGTATCCGGTTGATGATGGTCGAGGGCGCATTTCGTTTGCTATCGAGGAAGCCTCTTCATCCCAATGGGCTAGATCCAGTGTAGATCAATACCATCTGTGCTGTCTAGTACGCAGTATCTACGGATGAACGAAAATGCAGCTACTCAATAATGGGGGCAACACTCTCGTGCGGCCCACCTCTCCCAAATCTTCGTCGATGTCAAGTCGGATGGATGTTGCACTCAGACCACCGAAACTGCTGTCGCCTCTTCCGAATCCAGAAGGCCTTTGAGCCAAAGATTTTGTTTCAAAATATTAATAGCAATATGCATATCGGTGCCATAAACAACACAAGGAAGAAAAGGGGCCAAATGGCGCGTGTTCGAAAGCGTACCGAGTTTACGGGTTTCGGTTACTTTTTTGTTCTAAGCATGCAAAACTTTGATGAAATGCGTTTTATGTGTGCTCGCAAAGTGTTATTTGATCCTCTTTTTGCTAGTGCAATTGATTGCAAGGCGTTTCCAACTCATGGGCTGTTCAAAGTTTGCCAATCCAATGTATCACACGCTGTCCAGAATGGCTTTTCACTATAGATCCATTCTTCAATTTTGATTGCCGGAATACAAGCAATATCTGATGAACACCGGGTGAAGGTTTCCGCAAAACCCTCGTAGAATCCCCCTTCTTGTGTCGTTTTTATTGGACATATCAGTGCCACACATTTTTTCGTGAATGCTTTTTGAGTTTTGATTACATGCTGTAATGCCTCCATATGAAGGCATTCGACAATGCAGAAATTCACTGTATCCTACGTTAATTAAGCACTTGTATGTAATTCAGGGTTTAAATGTAATCACAGATGAAAAGATACTACTGAAAAGGTATGATATAACCCTGTATCATGTCATATTGCTTTTCCAAATGCGCAATAACTCATGCACTTTCGCAACTTGTAAATACACGTAACTTAAGATGCAGTTTTTAAAAAAACACCTGATCAGGTGTTCATGGAATTCATGAATGCCTCCCAATTCGGCACCGCTTGACTGCCATTGCCAATTTCATTTCATTCCTTTTTCGACCTTTATCCAGTTTGAGATCGCGCTTTTTCTCATGTTTTGTAGTTGCCATATATGTGGGACTCTAATCCCGAAGGGTGCACTGTGATCCAAATAAGTGACGCAAATGTTATGAATCCAAAAGCGCAGTGCAGATAGAGGTGCGCCCTGGGGAGAAATTCGCACATAAAAGCCTGTACGCCATGGCCATCTACAAGTGACAATATGTGGTAAAGCAGCAACGCTGGTGTTGGTGAGTTTCTGAGCGAAACTGCAGAAGTGCCTGCCCATTGATCAATGGGAAGGCACTTGTGCAGCATCATGATATTCAGGCATAACTGCCACCACCCTCAGCAACTCGTCGCCAATAATTAGTCAAGAATCTGATGCAATCACCAGCATAAAGCACCATTATGACGATGCCAAATGCGATGCCATTTTAACACTAAGGGGCGCCATCACAATGATTGCAATGGCCAAAAGGAGCTGCGATGGCATCAATAAGTGTCAAAGGGTACAGCAGCTGCCGCCGCCAAGATTTCGCTTTCAGCTGGTGAACGCTGCATCAGCCACAGTGCAGGTTGCGGCTGCATTTCCATTGATGCAACGATAGGCGAGCGCCTATCATGCTTGCCGCGCTGCAGTAAGGCTCTTTGTATCAATTCCCACAAACGCTCATGTTTGTGCATGTTTCGCGTTGCTCCGATCCGCATACACAGGCCCTGGTGAAGCGTTGCTCAGCGCCGAATCAATGAAAACGGGTCCATTATGCTGTACCAGTTCCTAGCCAACGTGCTGATGTCGTGAGACCATTGTCGCACCGACATCGCCGCAGCACCGCTCCGCCCTACGGCAGTTCTCTCCCTCCGCTTGCCCCTTCAGCACGCATCTAAATCCCTAGCGACGGCATATTTAAACAGACGTTTGCAGGAGCAGCAGGTCACGTAATTTGATCAACATTGAAGGCGAAGCGCTTTGAGGCTACCGACAAGCGCACCCCTGAGGCGCCCGGCTTCACTTGCAGAAATTGCTATTGTACCGATGCCAGCTGCGGTGTCATTTTGACACCAAGTGGCTCCATCACATTGACTGCGATGACGCAAAAGCAGCTGCGGTGATGTCAAATGGCATCGCTGTTGGCATCGCAGAACGTCATTTTGTAGTGACGCTTACTTGGAAGCTTTTCCATCACCTCCGATGGATTTCGCCGCGCCTTGCAGCATTGAGGCGGCCCCCCTGGTCGTGAGAGCTGCTTCCCTCGCCCAGCTCTTGTGTCCCGAGGTGGCTTCAGGAGGCAGGAAGTCCCGCTTCACGAGGGACAGAAGCATCTCCTCGTCTGTGACCGGCTCCGTCGCGAAGTGGAACGACACCTGCAAGGTCGCCACTGCACAGAGTCCTTGAGCTAATTATCAAAATGGTGGGATTTCTATTGCTGGAAACACACATGCTCAAAGCGAGGTCATAATTTTCTGGTTCGACTTTGAAGCAAAAGTACTAGTGCGTGATGCGAATGCGGCCAACCGAATTGTTTCATTTAAATATAGAGGAAGTGGTTGTCAATACTACATCTTTGGCTTATAACTCCTCCGTCCTGAATTGATTGTCCTCTATTTCAAAAAAAACAGTTATTCAAATAGCTTTCAAATTACCGGTAAAGATCATAATCGAGACTATTGGGTCTCAAAAACCTGGACTACCAATTTTTTGTGACAAAATGATCATCTCCACTATCTCTGGGGGCCCCTTGAAATTGCTTAAATTTTGGACGAAAATTGTGCATTCTGATTCAGCGTCCATTGGAGATCCGCACGGTTCTGGGTCGTTCCCTTCCCAGGCGTGCCAAATCAAGGTCGTTGTTGTCGTCGCAGCAAAGGGCAATGTCCGTCACGTTGTGTAGCGCTTGCCAAACACGCTCAACCATGTTTGGATCCCCATCGAAGAAGCCCATCATCACAGCATCGACGATGGCAGAAATCGCCGCCTCCTTGATCTACGATGCGAGGACTTGCCCCAAGCGGAAAAGGCCAGCACACAGGACGGCCAAGCTTGGATTCTGTGTGGGCTATCACTCTAATTTTGTGCTATAACTTTACTCTGTCACTGCGCCTCAATTGATCCTTGAATCGAGGCTTTCATGTGCGGCTGGTCTTACAATCCAGAAATTGCTGCTAGCGGCCAGCTCGCACATGCGGCAGGGGACCAAATAACACTTTTTGAGAACACATATGTATGCATTTCATCAGTGTTCTTCACGCTAAAAACACGAAAATAACACAAATCCGTAAACTTTGTACACGTTTGAACACGTGTTATTTGGCCCTTTTCTGCCTAGTGCAAATCCGATCTTGCCACTAAAAACGTACGCTGCGTGCATCTCATTGCATAAACCAAATACAAAATGTTAAACAACAGGTCACGGCAGTATATTGTAATTCAGAAGAGTTTCTGCAACAGAGATGACAAAAAGAAATCGCTTCCATGTGCTTATCTACGATGCAAATCTTGGAAAAGAGTTCCTGCAGGTTGCATTAGTGGGCTTACCGAAATGGATATCACCCAGGCGTAGAAACAATGCACGATCCTCTCGTCCACTGCGAGTATGTCCATGCCCATCCACATCTGCCACAACGCGGTGCCGACTATAAAGTACCCCGAAGCTCTGTGCATCTTCTTGAGGTTGATCTTTTTTATCCTCAGCATCAGCCACCCCAACAGCAATTGGGGAACGGAGGTGAACAGAATGATGAAGGACAGAACGCCGTGGGCGTAGCGCACGCGCCCCTGCGCTTGAATTCAATTTCCCGTTGGAGATCGTCAAAAAACATTCTTGCAATAACTCAAGGTTAAGACCAAACAAATCCTAAACTGGATGGTGCAAAGTACTGTCTTGCCAGACACTGTGTTTCGAGATGTAAAAATTTTTTACAGTGGTAAGTCACTTATTTCAGCTTTGCCTAATGTCATTATGTGAATACTCATTGCCTCCCATTTGTTTGCAGCTTAATCATTAAGCTGACCATCCATTATGGATGATCACAAATCTGTTCGAAATGTTCAATAAACGACATCACCCATTTCTTAACCTGTTTTTTATTAATGTTCAGAACCAACCACACATGTGGCAAACTTGTGAAATTGTTTCCTTACTGGAATGAGGGCGCCCCAAACATTGCATATAACGTCGGATACGACCAAAATAACGATGGGCAAATTTTGGGATTTTACTGATGCAATGTTCGATTAAGAGCATTTAAAAGCTCCTTAAATCCCAAAATGAACAGTGGAAGCCTTGAACCATAATAAGGTATAAATATCACATATATTTCACAAATACCTTTGTGTAACTAGTCTGCAGCACAAATCGAAGATCGCAGTCCTGCGTTGAAAACCAAATTGAAGGGCTGGTTATCAATATGGCGCAAATCCGCTGATTGTATTCAACGATTATTGGACATGTATGTAACTACTATGTAGCGCATACACGACTTAGTCTTGCGACCTTGCACCCAGTTTGACCAAAAGTTGCTGCATGTATGAAAGCAGCAAAATAAAGCCATGGAAAGTGCGAGGTGGCTTGAAGCACGACCTCCACGCTGACAGTGACACCTGCAGATGCCGAAATTTCATATCAAAGTTCAAAGCTTAAAGCGCACACCAGGAATGTAAATAAATATTTCCGTCATCAAAAAAGGCGCTGCGGTCGCACTGCAACAGTACAAACAAATTCGCGACTTGCATCATGGGGCGCTGCCCTGTGACTCAATCCTGGCATGATCCAGGCACAAATCGCCACAGTTAAAAGGTTCCGGGCACCGAAATGGCGAACTAAATTCACACACCCATTCTTCCTAAGGGGCTGCAATATTCTGGCTCGCGGCTTCGATTCCCAAGCGCCTCTGGGACCAGCGGCGCGCACGGCGAACGCGAGTGTGATCTTCACCTGGGAGTATCCGAACGCCACCATCTCCCCCAGGAACGACAGCGCCGTGGCGGACACCTCGAAACCCACGTGCAGGTGCCTCCAGTACTTCCAATGCCTGGCCAGGCGAGACATCACGAGCCCCATGACGGCCAGTACTGCCCAACTGACGGTTTGGATCCAGGCGTGGGCGAGTATCAGCCTTCTGTTCGGCTTGGCCGGTGTCCCCGTCTCGCTGTGCTCTTTGTCCATTTCCGGTGGTTCCCCTCCGCCTCCCCCTGCGCCTCTGGACATGAGGTTGACTTTGCCCTTGCCCCTGCAGCAGGGCCCGTGGCCTCCCGGCGGCAAAGAGTCTGTGGAGCCGTATGCGAAGACGACGTCCTGCAGGCGTCGACATTGGTTAGATCGGATTTGCTTGCCTGTTATCCATTCACTTATTTTTTCTGCTTGTTTAATTTTCAATTTGGGTGTGGGTTGGGAGCTTACACCAGTAGAAAACGGCATGTCGGCGATGCCAATTGCGATGCCATTTGACACAAATTGATGCCATCGCAGCCCCTTTTATGCCATCGCAGTCGCTGTGACGGCATCACTTTGTGTCAAAATGGCATCGCAGCTGGCGTCGCCAACATGTCGTTTTCTCCCAGTGTTACTTGGGCAAAGTTTTCCGGGGGAGTGGGAAGCAATGGGGAAATCTTGTTCGTTTGAGCACGTGCCGCAGCACTATGGGTGTCACATCTGTGGCTGCAAAAATGTAACAGAGAATATAGAGCACAATAAGAACAGACACAAAATTTCCGTAGCTTGCAAGACGATCCAAGAATGTGGAAAAATTATTATCTGCCATTCTGCACCGGCCTTACGGCAGAATTCTATATTGCGCACAGTGCAGACGCAAAGCCGTATTTACTGTCAGGCTTGGTTTTTACGTTTACGTTTACGTTTTTACTTTTACGTTTTTACGCGTAAAAACGTAAATTTGCAAAAGACCCTATTTTTACGGCTATTTTTACGTTTTTGCGGCTCCCTTATACGCCCAGATTACGTGATGAAAGTTGCGTACAATGATCAGTCCTCCGCCATATCCAGCACCCGCAACACAGTGTCCACCTCGCCCTTGGCAAGGGCGATGATGGTGTTTGACAAAAACTCGTTTTCTGCCCCTTCCAGGGCATCTGGCTGCCACTCTCCGGACTCCGTAAATCTGTATGTACTGTCCTTATGTACACCGTGCATTTTTTACGTTGAATTTACGTATTTTTACGCATTTTTACGCGTAAAAACGTAAAACCTGTTTTTACGCGTAAAAACGTGAATACGATCAGTTTTTACGGCGTAAAAACCAAGCCTGCCGCGTGGTGCACAGGCGCGTCGGCATTGAGATGTTTGTCCGGTACCTATCATTTCAGGATACGAATGTCGTGAAGGTCATGAATTGCAAAAAGGCTTGCTACTCCATGTCAGAAACCTGAAACTGGACCCCAAAGTCCTAGAAACGAAAAATGCAGGCCCCCAACTCAAAATGCAACTCAGAATGACCTTCGTGACCTCCGCATTGGGACACAAGCGTGCACTATATTTATTTTGTAAGACACATCCCGTGGGAGAGGGAACATTCAAAGGGGAGTAGTTCCGAGAGGCGTCGGTCCAGCCCCCCTCCGGGAAAAGTGTTCCAAATACCTGGATGCTGAATTGCGCCATCAGAAATGTGCATACCCAGCATGTGGGATGAGCTACATTCCATCAACTGGCTTATCTTGGAAGTGATCTGCTGGAACCCTGGACATGGCTGTATTTTGTACATGTCATGCGATATGGTTCACATGTCATGCCCTTGAATCGCGGTCCTTGATGTGGATCAACTGTCCAATCTCTGGGGATGAAGGATTTTTGGAAGATGCGGCGCCGCCAGCAGAACAATTGGGGTAGAGAATCAGCGAGACTGCAAACCTGGTTCTTGTCTTTGATGACGCGATCGAATTGGTCCCCCGTGTCCACCTTCCTTCGGAACAGCAAAGAAGTTTTGCCGTCCACTTGCTCCCCGGCGAAGGAAACAATGTCGTTCGTCCCGCCCTGGTTAACGTCCGTGTTCGGTTGGAAGAAACCTGGGCAGCAGTGTTCGCCGAAGTTGAGGAATTTGCATCGATTGTAAGTGGATAAAGAAATCACTGTGACCGCAGCTTTGAGCTGAAAGTGGGTTCGACTCCCATATTGCAGGGATGATTCTTCCCACCCTGCTGTTGGTCCTCCAAGTGATGAAGACAGAAGTTCGCAATTTTCGCAGCTCCTCGTTTTGTGCAATGCGCCCGAGTTAGCTCAGGAAAGATTATGTCAATCAGGATTAGAAAACATCCCCCGCATCTTCAATGGGGTAAGTCATCAGCGGCGCTCCACTCTGATGTGCCCAGACGTCGCCGTCGCTTCGATGTGTTTTGCCAGAATGGTTACGGCGCAACTCCATTTGCGATGCCAGCTTACGAAGTGTTCTTCTTCTGATTAGTGGAGTCGCTTCCCAGCGTTCGCTTAATGATCATGGTCAGCTCGGCAAGGTGCTGACGCGTTGTCGCCTACACTGCAATGCATTACTGTACTTTGGACGACATCGCCCACAACGTACAGTTGTAGAGCTCATTATAAACGCTTTGCATTAGCTTGGCTTGCACTGCAGTAAGTGATGCGGTCCGGAGCATTGTGCGTCTCAGATTGTTGCATACCCTAATCTCTCGCGGAAAGCCCCCAGCAAGCGGACCATCAGGTGCCTGATGGTCTGCGGCGACTACGGCGTCTGCGGCGACTACGGCGTCTGCGGCGTCTATGGCTTCAACGGTGTCTGCAGCGCCCACGGCGTCTACGGTCTCGACGGTGTCGGCGGTGTCCATTGAGTCCTCAATGTCGGCATTGAGTTCAACGCCAGTGGACCTGAACCGTGGCGATTCGCCCTAAAACTGTCACGTGTTGGTGTGCCAATATCACCTCCGTGTCGTTGCATTCAACATGTGCACATGTCAACACTAAGTAATGCATACGCGCAACCCATTCTTGTGCACCAATTGGTGCAATCCAGCGCTTGTTTGCACAGCGCTGTGCAAAGTGCTGTGAGAACGAGTGATGGCTGCCGCACGACATGAACACAGTTGGGGACATCGGGACGACGGGGGAGGGGGAAGGACACCAAGATGGGCAAACAGCCCTGGGGTACTTCTGGGGATAAAATTTGAATCTGAACCTATGCGAACGCATGATCCGGGCGGGTGAGGTGGTGGGGTGTGCGGGGTAGGTGGGGTGGGTGGGGCGTGGGCAGGGGGATTCCAGACGACGAATTCATAACGCTCCTCATAAATGTAGCTACATTCATTACATTAGTCTGCTAACGTGCAATTGCTGCAAAGTATTGTATACATAAAATATGTGACCCGGTGATCGGCAACAACGAATATCCTCCGCAAAATTCTCTGCGCACAGCCGCGCGGCTCAATGCGACAAAGCACCAAGCCTTGAAACCCTCCGCTCGAAAGAGGTGACAAACGAATCAATTAATCAAACAAACAAACAAATGCTTCAAGTCATAAACGCAACGAAGCGACAGCAATAAAGGAACGAATCCGAAGACGCACCCGCGGCCCAGGAGTCCATGAGGGTGACGGCGCCGTCGTCCGCCACCCATCCGATGTACACGTCGGTCTCCTGCATGCCGCTCACGGAGGCGTCGGCGGGATCTATGCCGAAGCCTATCCACCCCCCCGTGTCCTTCTGGATCTTGAAGACCATCTCCTCCGCCCCGCCATCCTGCAGCAGCCGCCTGCTGGCGGAGGCGGGCGCCTCCCCCGTGCGCATCCACCACACCCTGTAACCTTCGGCCAGCTCGACGCTGTTGGAGTCGTCGAACTGCAGGGAGAGGAGGTCCTCTGTGCCGGTGGCGCCGCCCGCCGATCCAAAAGTGATGTCCACTACCCCCCTGGAATGGGAGAACGAGCTAGAATTGGCCGCGATGTCGCAGCGCATCCTAAACAGCGCCCATTGTGTATGGTGGCATCCATGGTGTGTCAATCCTCGTGCTCATTGCATTTTCGCACACGACAACAAACGGGCAGTGGTGCCAAGCACGTGATTGTCCAAATCCGCAGTGCTTGTTCGAGAGCATGGCAGCGCGGCCCAAATTGCTCTGTCGGCAGTGGATTTCGTGGCTGCGCGGCCGTTTTGCAACGGTGCAACTTCTCGTGATGTTGAAAATTTTGCGCGTTCCGGCTATTTCCTGTCTTTTATTGTCTTCGTTGTAAGAGATGTGGCGGCAGATCTGTCGGTCGTCTACACGACCTGTTACCTTGTTCAAATTGGACTCGCGTTTGAGCATCAAGTCGCCGGAGCTGATGCTGACGGGGTGGTGCAGGCGGCGGCCATGTTGCGCGTGCCCTCGGGACACCGGGGCACAGAGAACGCGAATTCGCCATGAGCTGGTATAGTCAATGTACGCTCACGAAAAATATAAGCAGTCTTAGCAGCGTCAAAACCCGCATGTTTGCGATGCGGACTGCGATGCACTTGTGACGCGCAGCGGTGCCATCACGGTGATTGGAATCGCACAAAGCAGGACTGAGGGCATCAATTGGAGTCAAAACAAATAGAACATCGGAAAAAATACACCATTTCGAGCCGTGTAAGTATTGCCTAAAGCTGAGTCGAAGCGTGTCAAACCATGTGCTTTCACTCAATCGTTCCTACACGGTATGGTTCCATTTTTGTACGGTAATATCACGATCAACATACTATCGAACACCATTTCTACACTATTCTCAATCGCGTTGCACGGTACAAGATTCTCAAAACCGTCCGTTTTGGCCTTTTTTAACTATTGAAATGCCATTGCAGTCGGCATTGCAAATATGTCGTTTTCTGCCGGTGCAGCGGACACGCGCCTCTTGTTTCCGTGGTACTGCATCCCCCGTGGCGCCTCGTGGAAGGCGTAGATGAGAGAGAAACCCTGCGCCGGGATTTCCCTGTCGAACTCATCGGGCACCACCAGGGACCGCGTGAAGGTCGCACTCATGTGGCCGTCGGCGACTTCGCACGACTTGGCCGTCAGGCTGTCCTGTCCGCCGATGTCCTCGTCGGGCGTGGGCCGCGCGAAGGTCTCGGACCAGTAGTCGTTCACCTCGCACGTGGCGCCGTCCGCCACAGCCACGATGATGTCCGCCAGGTGCATATTCTTGTCAGTGCCAGGGATGCCTATGCCCATGAATCCCTCCCCTGCGGACGCGGTGGGATGCTTGAGCGAATAGATGAGTCTCCGAGGCGGGGCGCCGACGCGCCCCAGTCAGTGCGACCCTGTAGAACTGGCAGTCAAGGGACTGCGAGCAGCACTGGTAAAAATTCGACCATTTTACACGGTGCACAATTGGAAAAATCGTGTTAATATCGTGCACAAATCGGGTGCTTCAGAGCACGATTTTACACGATTGCTATAATCCTGTAGTTTTAACCCTGTGTAGTACACGAATGTGGTCCACCTTACCACGATGGACAACACGACAAGCACACGGTTTTACACGATTTCAACAGTGAACCAGCGGCAATTGTGTACTTTATGATTCTCACCATCCACCTCCATAGTGAACGTGACGCTGCCTTGTGCCAGTTCCCAAGACAGAGTGAACTTCCGGTCGGCATCCAGAGTCGTTTCTCCAGTGATGGTCGCTGCTCGACCGTCTCTAGGGTCTCCATTTGCGTTGGGTGGAGCGCCGGGGGCGGGAGGCACGCCAGGCACCCCTTCCGAGGCGTTGGGAAGCGGCGGAGAGATTACGTAAGCTTCGGTGGCATCTGCGTCGCGTGCTGCGTAGAAGTTGATTTGAAGGCGGCTGGTCCTGCCCCGGTAGAAATATCCTTCGTGATCGGTCGATAAACGATTGCGGGCATCAGCTGACGATAGGTGAACGTTTGCAAATGACCGCGGCAAATGGTCATCTGTGCTGCCCCCCCAACGCCAACTGTCAGGCTTAGTGCAGCACGTTGTGGGAGTCTCAAATGATTCGGCTGATAACGTAACCAGTCTGCAGTGAACGATGCAGAGCCGTTGCTACGGCAAAAGCACTGAAAGACGGGACACTGCGTTGATGTACTGCAAACCAAGCACTTCAAAATTGGCACGTTGATTTTATTCTCATCGCTCATTAAATTTATCCCCGTATTTTATGCAATCCATTGGGTGTAAGGAATATTAATTGTCTATCCCTTTATTGGGATATCCCAGGAAAGCACCAAGGCGCCGCCCACTTCTCAGAGACTATCGCAACGTCGCTCGTGACGCCCCAGGCAAGTATTGTGTTGGTGAATCCCTCCGAACGCATGTCTCGGTCCAGGGGGTCCACGGAGGTCGCTGCCCTCTTGAAGCTGGCCACAATCTCTCTCCCGGACACAGCGCAGGTGGCGTCCAGCAGGTCATCGTCTCCGCCCAAGAGGTTGTCGAGTCGAAATTCGCCTGCGGATTGCGCCCAGTAGTCGCCCACGGTGCACTGACCGTTTGTGCTCTGAACAATGATGACGTCCGCCCCGTTGAACGCCCTGCCCGGGCCCTCGAATCCGAGGGCCATGAAGCCATCTCCGGAGCCTGCGGAAGCACAGACGTTGTCAGAGTGTAGTCAAGATGAAAGAGCGGATTTTTTCTGCGGAGGGACGTGTCTGCTGGATTTGGCAAACCTAATAATGCCCCCTTTTGAACTTTTGGTGAACCCAAATCCGCCTTAAATTGACGCGCATGTTTTGGCTTGCCCTCTTCTGAATTCCTCATGATTCAAGGAACACGAGCGCGACTGATCAGGATGTCGCCGAATGATGAGTCGCGCTCGAGGCGACAACCAAATGTTCGCTTTGCACGGGAATGATGAAATGGGAGTAAAGACTGCCTTGCAGAGTCATTTTATGGCAGATACTCATGTGTATTACGGAAAATCGCTTTCTTTTGGGATGTGCTTCACAACGTTGTCAATGCATGTCCTGCTCTTGAATTCTTCCAGTTCCGTTACTGCATCGGTGCGGCCAGCCAATTGTACTATAGTCGGTCTCGGATAGGAATTCCTTTACTCTAATCGTCCGCTTTCATTTAATTCTAATGTTGAGCATTCGGTGACCACATAAGATGCGTTACCGGGAGCGCCTGTCATGCTCATGGTGAAGTGAATGGTGTCTCCTGTCGAGCCATCAGCGACACTCCACGAGATTTTATATCCTGTAGTGGCGTCCACAACAATGTCTTTGCCGGGTGGTGAGGATGGAGTCGTATCAGTAGGAGGCGTAGTGGCGGGGGACGGTGAAAAGGGCGCCATGAAATTCGCAGCGGCGCGTCCACGGTTGGAAGACCTGCGCATGTGCCAATGACGTTACGATATAGAGGTAAACTTACAGTAGATTTTGTCATTTGAAATTTGGCATAACGTCGTGAGTATTATTGAATTTACTCCCCATCGATTGAAACCTATGAAAAAAACACTGAAATTGAGGGTTCCAAGATAGGCGGAAGAAAAAGCACACCACACGTCATAGATATCAGCGATATGGAAATGCAAATTAAATGTAAATCAAAGTACTCTACCATCTAATTGGATTCCATAGAATCTAGATCCACATGCCAAATTCCTCGACTCAAAAATCAAATAACAATAGATTTGCTGAGGAGTGAAGCACATGTACATGTAAAGTTGTGGGTCGATATCCTGTTTACGGGTTAACACATGTTCAATATGCCGGGGGGAGTGTAATGTAGTCCTTTTACTGTACCGCAATGTAGATCCCTAGGAAATTATGATTCTTAAACATCTCCAGGCGATGCAGGAGAGCTCAGCACATCATGATGTATCATGCCATTTTAACATCCTGCTACTGCCATAAGAATTAAAACTACATATTCTGCGCTTAGCAAAAGTGCGCGTGCAAGGGGTTATCTCATTCGCTCAGCGCAGCGCACAGAAAAAACTGTCGGTGTGCCCCACATGAAAATCGCGTATGGTTAAATGATACCGCGACAACATTGTACGATATTTTGAAATTCTATGTAAGCGTTGTTCGCATTAACAATGCCCTTCATATACGGTGTATTAGGCGCAAATATTCCATTAAGATTCTTTCGCCAGTGAATGACGTACCCATGGTATCTGAGTGTTCCATCGCTTGAGTGCCACGCGAATATGATATCCGTCTCCCCTGTCGATTTTATGGGGCGATCAAACTCGTCGCCAGTGGCAATCTTGCGCCTGAACTCCACTTGCGTGAATCCTCCAGACTGAGAGGCGCTCAGAAGCTCAACGTCGTTGGTTCCTCCCAGGGACTCGTCAGTCTGGGGTTCGGCCAAAGTCTCAGAGTAATAGTCGTCGATTGTGATCCGTCCAGGCGACGGCGAGGAAGCGACGATAATGTCCGCACCAACCATCTTGCTCGTGGAGTCTGTGCGGGAGCCGAGGAGAAGCTCGTCTACTTCCCAATCGATCCTTCCATGTGCGAAAAGCATGAATAACGAGGGAACGCCACTTTGGATCACAGATTGGTGCGCACTACTTCCGATTTGCCGAGTTGCTGTTTTTGCCATTTGACAGCAATACTTTGCTCATCACACAATGCTACGCAGATCATGTCGGCCCGCAACAGACGCACCTTTGGCAATCCCGATGCCGACCCATCCCTCGGTTTTCACACTCAAATTGAACCGGAGGTAGTCTTCTCCATCAATTTCCTCCTTGCTCCACCTCAGTGTGTACATTCCAGGTTTCAAGACTTTGACTGGATCGGCACTGGCGATGGGTGTGCCGCTCACCGGGTCTCTGGGCGCCTCGGGGGCGCTTATTGTTGCTCTTGGCCACGGCTGATCAACGTCCTGCACGTAGACGTTTGTCGGAAGGAGCTCGATGGCGGTGTTTCGCAGGATCACGTCTCGAAGGCCTAGAAGACATCTCGGAAGGTGCTTGCCACGCTCGCGCGATAGTGCAACGCAATCGCGACATTGCAGCAACATAGACATTTCAAAAGTTTTTCACCTTGTTGCTTAAGAAAAGGTTGTTAATTTGAAGACGTTATTCATTGCAGCTCAGCTTCTATTTCATTGATTTGATTCATGCGAAGTCAATATGGGTCGTATTTCTTTTCTTCGTATGTAATTTTGACAAGCAAGGATGGCGGAATCGTCATCCGCGGCGGTGTGCCTCGAGATTGGGTAGCGGCTGGCATTGATCGACGATAATGCGCCTTCAGCGCATCGATCAAGCTCATCAAAAACACCAGATCCGAATATTCCAATGAATGACGTTCCCATTACGAGAAGCGATCCAGTAGAACGTGCGGTGAAATCGAGCAAAAATTTGCAACGAATTCGCTACTCGCTCTCTGCGCAGAATTTTACTTATTACTCACCCGTGGCTCGGATGCTATTCACCTCCTCTTCGGCGAACAACCCGTTTTCGCTATTCTCAAAATAGAACCGGTCGCCGTCCCGGATCCTCACGTACTGTTCCAGCATGGATACGTAGAAGAGCTCGCCGATGTTGGAGTCCATATGGGCGTCCTCTGAGAGGCCGCCGATGTAGGCGTCGATGCTGCCGACGTCGCCGTACAGGGCTTCCAATATGCGCTGGAGATAAGTTTGGGTGGTGATGTCCTCGAAGGTCGCCTTCCTCTGTAGCCCCAGGTGCTCCCGGGCGGAATTGTAGTCGGGGATGCCATGGTCCCTGCATGAATTTCGCTGTTCGTTGGACCCATGAAAGTTGGATTACCTGGCGGGAATTATTGTGAAAAATATGGAACTAAATATGTTAACCCGCCATAAACTTCGAAATGCGTGAAATATGCAGATTCCTGCATCCCAATTGAATAAATTAATATCAGAAAAATATCTTGTCTGGGAATTTCCGTCGGATGCGCATTACCAAAGGCGAGACATAGAGTAAATAAGGTCATGATTTGCTTTTAATCAGATTAGATTTAACTGCTTCGAGTACATTGAATATAGGTAGAGCTGTTCCGCTCATCTTTCAGTGACGTTCAGGACTTGGTGGCTTATGTCATCCAGAGGGAACCTTGGTCAGCATATTTAGTTTAATTCTTGAAGTGCGGCACTTCAGTATATTCGATATTCATATATCCTATATGGCAGCCACATAGCTTCAATATTTTATTGCCGAAATCGCGCTGCTGCTCACATACAAACACATATCATATCATGATTATCTGACTGCTTCTAACTTGCTTTGTTCCAGTGAAAATTCGCTAATTAATACTTTAAGATGAAATTTGAAGGCTTCGAATTGCGGCCAGCTAATATCATCCCAATTGCTTTTGGGTTTCATCAGCATTCACCTGTGAGAACTTGCCCAGCCCAAAACTTCATGTGCCTTGATTTTCCGCACTCGTCCCATTGAAGTTGGGCATCACCACAGGGAAAAGAAACATACAAATTAGCAAATTTCTTATTAAACGTTAAATATTAAATGACAGCATATCTATTTAGGTCAAATCCCAGTCACGTGAAAGGTTTCTCAGAGTAGCGCTTTCCGGTCAATGTGGAAAACGTGTCCCACAGATTCATATGAATGTGAACATACTGTTGTCCGAATGCAGATCGAAAGCTCCGTGCATGGAGTTTTCGATTTGAATTCTGATAAAGCCACTGTGAGGTCCGCCACGATAGTACACTCACCTTCCCCTTTGTATGTTTCTCGCGAAAAGATCCGTCCCCCTGTGTACGGGGTTGCCGAAGAGGTACGTCTGCAGCGCGCTGGGGAAGTGTGGGGAGCCGCTGGACTGCTGCCCGACCGACATGCCCCTCAGCAGGGGCTCGATGCCCGCGGCCAGACCGTTGGTTGGCCGAAAGTACGACTCGAACAGCAGCAGGTGGCCTGCAGGGATTTCTTGCCCGTTTTCGTCGAGCCGCTGTACGATTTCCATGACCTCCGAGTGACCGTACCTGTAGGACACCGTGGCGAAGAAGTTGTCCATCCCTGCGCATGCATAGAGGCTTTGAAGGGATGCAGGTCCGATTGGTTGTGTTTGTGAATGGGGTACAGTAAAATGCCTGAATTGATTTCGAAATGCGCTGAATTGGTTTAGAAGAAAATCTGTGCGCACCGGTATTGAATTCACTAACAATTCCTGAAATAATCTTGTCTTATATAATGGATTGTATGAGATTTTCGGCATTGGCTGGTTGAAGCGGGAAGCGCAAACAATCTCAACAAACAGCAATGTGGAACAAATTTACCCCATCGACGTCTTGCAGGTTAATGCGCAGTAGCGATTTTTCTTGCCGCTTCAAGTTTAATGAAATGAGTAGAAGAAATGCAATCCTTATACAAAGGAAACCAGGAGCGCTCGAGAGGTGCTTGAGCACCCAAGACGCCTCCGGCACTAGTCGTGCGATTGTGGGTGCACCTGATTGCCATTGTCTGGGCATTTTTCTTTGAATGTGTGGTGTGTGTCCGCATATTTTGGCCGCCTTTTGTTGGCCGCTTGATCAACATATGATATCCAATCATCGAATAAGGCTGGGATGTTCTTCTATGATCTCACAAGTGAATTAGGCATGCTCATATCGAAAGCTAAGGTGTTCTTCATGGAAAAATGTTCTCCATGCTGTGCGTTTCGACTGTGTCTGTTACCGTAGGTGATGCATCGGCTCAATGTCATATTTACGCAGCCAAAGCCTTGCGATGCTGAGGACAAAAGGGGCTGGCGCACGCCGTATATTTGGGAACTATCCGTTCAGAATTCTGTCACAACTTTTTGCTGCAACGCGTCCCTGCTGCCATGGAAGGGAGCATTGCGCGCCTTTGGGATGCCAGAAGATGATCGGCGCTCCCGCGCTCTTACCCGGATTAATGCTGGAATTGTAGCCTTGGTAAGGCGGCACCTGGAATCCCAGCATGGGGAGGTACTCGTAGTAGCATATGGCCTGCATGATGGCGATGTTCCATTTGCGGGCCTCGCGGAAGATCTGGTCATCAGACCAACCCGGATTCCTGGAAGCAATCTCATCGGCTAGCCTGTTGTGTTCTCGCATAAAGAGAGTCTGCAGGGATAACAGCGCAGGATTCACGTTGGCACGGGAATCGCCTGCAGCCCTGCGAAAGTTCACTGGATTAGCCTTTGCCAACACTGAGGTTGCGCGGCGCTCTCAATTGCATCTGCTGTCAACTGCTTCAAGTATTTGGAGATTGTATTTCTGCGGAAAGTGACAATGTCGAGCAGCGGTTGCATCGAACGCCAATCTGTCGGCGAGGGCACCTTCAGTAGCGCACAATCCACGTGCGCCCCGTCCTCGTTGGCATTCTCATGTCGTCTATTTTGCGGTTGAAGGACAGATATCAGGTGTTCAGATTCTCTTATGCACGGTATTTACAGTATCTGTTTAGGCACCCGCTCCCCTTTTGCCCAAAAGATTCAGTTCTTGCTCATCTGCAGCCGCTTCTTTCCCATGTATTGGCTCCAAAAGATAATAATCAAATCCTGCCTCAAACACAATTAATGTTTTCTCAAATGTGCCATTTGGGAAAAAGTAATCTACGAATATCCTGAAAATCCCGCAAAAATCCCCGCCTCCCCCCCCCCCAAACGTTGGGAAGAGGAAATGCAAGCAACATCATGTTGATTGTCAGCGGCTGGCAATGACAATGCGTCTATTCGATTGCAGGAATTTTATTCGTTCCAGTATAACCCTAAATGTGTTTTGAATTTCCGTATTTCACAAGAAAAAATATCAAAACTTCTTGATAATACTGTATTTAAGACGTTGGTGGATGATAGTTTTAAGGATGTATTTGTTTAGTTTCATTCTAAAGGGCATGATCTGTGAAGCAAACGGTCAATAACAAGATGCAAATGAGTTATACACATGCAATTGCACCGATTGATGTTTACTTATTCTATACAGAACATCGGAGATCTCATGATATACTTTGGGCATTAACATTGCATGGAATACAAAAATACTGTTGCCATCCGGGACAAATCCGCGTCATGTACAAAATCCAAAGTGGGTGGCACGCAGACATCCTGAAGAAATCTTCAAATTTCCAGAACTGATTAGGGGATGCTATCCGGACGCCATCGGCCGGCTCTTTGATCGGACACAGGCTTGGTTTTTACGCCGTAGAAACTGATCGTATTTACATTTTTACGCGTAAGCATGCGTAAAAATAAGTACATGCAACGTAAAGACTGTCCGGTGTACATAGGGACAGTACATACAGACTTGCGGAGTCTGGAGAGTGGCAGTCAGATGCCCTGGAAGGGGCAGAAAACGAGTTTTTTTTGTTAAACCCCATCATCGCCCTTGCCAATGGCGATATGGACACTGTGTTGAGGGTGCTTGATATGGCGGAGGACTGATCATTGTACGCAACTTTCATCGTGTAATCTGGGCGTCCCAGGGAGCCACAAAAACGTAAAAATAGCCTTAAAATAAGACCTTTTCCAAATTTACGTTTTCACGCGTAAATACGTAAAAGTAAAACGTAAACGTAAACGTAAAAACCAAGCCTGATCGGATAGTTGTGTTGGTGGCACATAACTCTTAGCCATTATGGAAATAATAAATTCACTATGCGATGTAAGTTGCCTCACGCGTTGCAAGTAAATGCATTGCGCTGGACCCGATCATCTCATGGAGGTGCGCGCCAAGCACCTCATATCTGTGTCTTGCTCAACCCCGGCGGGGTTCTCCATCTCCAACCTCATGGAGTTGAGCGGCAGCATGTCATTGTAGGTGGACATTTTACCCTTGTAGTGCGATCTGAGTTTGTCCGCCTTGTCCAGCGACTCCCCATACACAACGCTCCCGTCCAGGAAAGATGTGATAACGTTCACCTGAGGCGCACATTGCGCAACGAGAAAGGCGCGCGACACGTTAATTTCCCATTTACAATTGTCGATTTAATGATTCAGAATGTTCTCCACATTATTTTCACCGAAGCACTCCCGAAGCAGGTCAGCAATCGCTAAATTACAGAGTTTTTTTTCATCGTACTGATTCAAAGCGACCAAATCGTGAGAACGCCGTTGCGTACTTAGGCTTATTGTCAGGGCGAAGAGAAAAAACGTCATTGGTGGGAATTTTCTCCAGATCCCACTATCTGATTCACAATCGCATAGTTCTGGGAAAGCATTTCTCATCATATGCAAACAGCACGGATTAGAAGCAGCAGCGTAGGCAACTGGATGGATCCTGCTGGCTACAGCCTTGGAGATGAATGGTTGTCATGCCGCAGGCAGATGAGATTCAATGGATCTCCACCAAGCGCCGCCAATCGGTGCACCACATTGACGGGCGAGCGCCGTGTCAGCAGCCAAGTTTCCACAATTCATTTCCAAAATGTCACAATTACGAGAACCGCATGCATCTCTAAACACTCGCGGAGAGTGATGTGGTGATTGAGTTTCCAGATAATGAGATGATATCTGAAGGCTATTTCACTGAGCGGAGGGTGTTTGCTCCAATTGCGCAGATGTTAGTTGTGTCCGAGCGCAGATCGATTGAAATACCAATGCGCCCCTCAATTTCACCAGCAGAAGACGGCATTTTTGCGACGCGCCAGTTGAAAATGATTTACTGGTAGAAAATGGCATGTCTGCGATGCCCACTGCGATGCTATTTTGACACAAAGTGGTGCCGTCACGGTGATTGTGATGGGATAAAAGTGGCTGTGATAGCATCAATTTGTGTCAAATAGCGTCGCAATTGGCATCGCAAACAGGCTGTTTTCTGCTAGTGATTGATGCCACCACAGCTGCTTTTATGCTACCTCAATCGCTGTGTACTGCTAAAACAACATCGCAGTTGCCATCGCACGGCCAGAGTCCCATTAGTGCTTGATGTGCAGATACATTTGACACATGCGCATTCCACAGAATGCGCCGATGTTCCGAGCCGAAGCCGGGGACGCACCCCGTGCCTGGCCCCACCTGCTCCCTGTGCTCGGAGGCGGGCCTGGAGGCGTTGTACCCCGACCTCTTGAAGGGCATGGTCCGCGCCCCCGTGCTGGCGTGGTCGAAGTGGAAATCCCCCGCGGGGATGGAGATGTTCGCCCACTCCACCGTCTCGGCGCCCATGGTGAGGTCGATGTCGTGGTTGAAGAACTGGCCGATGTACGTCAGCATGTCGGTCTTGTGGCCCGCGTTCCGGCGCCGGCTCCGGTACGGGGGCAGCACCAGGTCGGCGCTGATCTTTCGGGCGCTCGGCCGCGTGTCGCCCTGCATCCCAACGCGTGAAAATGCAGTTTGGTTGAAATACCGTCACCGCAAAAACATCGCGCGTCAAAATACGGTTGCAGTTGCCGGCTCGAATGAGAATATTGCGAGGCAAATGAGGTTCCGGCCGTGGTCGCTGTGTGCTTCTGTTTTCGGGCGCCATGTATCGGGGTCCCGCCTAATTGGCGTGCACGTGGTTTGAGAGCTGGAGCCACAGAAGTGGCGCATATGGACGAATGAAGCTGTCTGAAATTGGAAGTCCATTCCCTGGACCACAGTATTCCACAGAAGTTTGTCTCATCTGTGGATGCGGCGGTGTCTGGTGGCAATGCCACACACCGGCGTGCTTTGAGGGGATACTCGTCGGTCGAAAATCAGGGACGCCCATATGCCGTGCAGCGTTCAACACTAGGGAGGGCCAAATGACACGTGTTCAAACGTGTACAAAGTTTACGGGCTTTGGTTATTTTTGTGTTATTAGCGTGCAAGCTTCGATCAAATGTGCTTTAGGTGCGTTCGCAAAAGTGTTGTTTGGCTCTTTTTCTGCTAGTGCAATGCCCGATGTTGTCAATATCGAAGCACACAAGTGATCTGTGTACAACGCGAGTGAAGAATCTCTTAGATGTTTACTTTATGTTGGCCCCTTGCGATCATGCGGTGATACTGCTTCGTGGATTCTTACTGTAAGACTTATCAACCAAATTGCTGGGTAAATCTTTGAAAGATCTGTAGTGCAACAAAAACTGTTGTTGCGAGC